TGGTAGCCGTGCGCTGCTAAAATGATTCTGACTCATAGCAACCCTGTAGGATGGAGTAGAATTGTTTTCTAGGTTGTGTGGTGTCTTTACAGAAGCTGACTGACAGGCTTTTTCTCCTGCAGAGGGACTAGTGTGTTCCCATCGTACCACGAGGGATCTTTATAGGAGATAGATTAGATAGATAGATAGATAGATAGATAGATAGATAGATAGATAGATAGATAGATAGATAGATTTTTAAAATGTCATGGAAAAATTCCATTATCTTTCAATTTCATTTTTCCACGAACATTTTGAAGTTTTCATCATAAAAGAAGCCTTGGTGGTACAGTGCGCTTAAAGTTTGTGGCAGACCGCCACCAGTGACTGGTTGGGAGGAAGATGTGGTTAGTCATTATTCCATAAAGATTCACAGCCTTGGGGACCCTCTGGGGCAGTTCAGTGCTGCCTGAGAGGGTCATTAAGGAGTAAGGGGAATGAAGTTTTTGTGATTTGTGATTCTTTATTTTTTTTGTGGGGGATGGGTTATTCAAAACATAATACTACACTGTTAAGATTATTTTCACAGGACATACTTTAAAATGTGCTTGGGGTAATATCCTTCTGATGTTCTCTAATTTTATTTCTTATTGCTTTTCCTTAAAGTCTTTTTAAAAAACAAAAGCAAAACTTTTTATTTTGAGGGAGGTGGGGATTTACGTATCAGATCATCAGTTTTGCGTTCTATACCTCTAACAATTTATCAACCCTTCCCACTGCTTGCTCCGTCCCCTCGTTGTCCCATCACCCCTTTGTCAGCTATTATCTTCCCTGCCATCAAGTTAACGTGTATCGTGTATCTATTTACTCTCCACCTATTACTTCCCTGTTCCTCCCTTTCCTGCTTACCCTTGGTAGCCATCCAAAAGTCTGTTTCTTTTGGTAAGTTAACTACTACTTTATGACCTTTTAAATCAGCTTGTCAAGTTCCAAAGTCAGTTGGAATTTGCATTGGGATCCTATAATACATAATTTAACTTAGTATGTTTAAGCTGCTAATTTTGTTCCTATTGAAGATCCTAGTATGTCATTCTTTTTGTTCACATCTATTTTTGTTCCCTTGGCTGTATTTTTAGCCCTTACTCAAATAAACTCTGCCTGTTTCCCTTGTCAAATCGGCATTGTATGCTTTCAACCACTGAATGCTTTCAACAGCAGCACTCTTCCACTATATTATTCAGCTAGTTTAGTTTAACTCTGAAGACTAAGGATTTCTGTATCTTAATAGTTATTTCTGCTTCTTTAATGACTGACTGCGTTTTAGTAATTTGATAGCTGGTTTGTTTGGGTATTTCAGGTTTACAAAAATATCAAATGCAAAAAGTGATGATTTTACTTCCCGTTGTAAACCATGTGCCATCTAACATTTTCCTTTGGCCTAGTAGCCCTTCCTGGTGTGCTCTAACCACTCCATGGTGATAAGAGTGGTAAGAGCAGGCTACCTGCTTTCAGTTCCTGAGGCTACCTCTAGAGCTTTGTCACTGGGGTTGTGATTACAATATAGGAAACCATATTAAGGAAGTACTCATCAATTCCTACATTTGGAAGCTGCCTTTCAACCTCCCACCCGCCCCCAAGGATAAATTGAATTTCTTTGTATGCTTTTAAGCATTTAATTTATGGGCATGTGTACATGTCGGGCCTTCTTTAATTAATGACTTGAGGTTTCTAGACCAAGTGAGCAGGTGATGTGAGAGGGGATTACAGATGCAAGGGTTGCTTTTGGACCACTTCTGACTCAGACTTTTAACAGAGGTGTGGCAGTTGGACTCCCAGATTAAAGCAGGGACGGTCTTCCCAGGTTTGATTTGAGTAACCTGTCACTCTTTCTGACAGGTTAGAAGCTATTTCTGGGTCCTTCTTTACCAATCTATTCCAGCAGGGCTCCACAGTTGTTATGTAGCAATTTTACGATTTTGTCAGCTCTTTGATGCTTTAGGATAGATGTAAAAGACATTCTGTCCTGCATTTTGAATTAGTGCTGGGATGGGGGTGTTTCTGAATGACCTAATCCGCCATTATTGGAATAAAAGTTTGTTTTCATCTGATCCTTTTTCTGCACTGACTAGAGTTACATTGCTCAAGTACAATGCTGCTTATATAATTCATCTGCTCAGAACCAATCTTTTGGTTTTGTTCTTTAGTCTTTACTACTGCTGTTCAGAAAATGCCTCACCTTAACCTCTCTGAATCCATTTCACACTATTTTCACCTCACTTGCCTGAGCGTCGTCTCTGGGCCAGAATGTGTGTTGTTCCGAACATTTGTAAGATTCTGCTTCAAGCCAAACTCATTACCCTCAAGTTGACTCTGACTTGCAATGACCTTATGGAACAGAGTAGAATTGCCCCATTTAGGTTTTGGAGACTGTCAATCTTTACGGGAGTGGAAAGCCTCATCTTCCTTCCAACAAATGGCTAGTAGCTTCGAACTCTTCACCTAGTAGTTAGCAGCACAGTGCATATCCCTTTGCTCCACCGGGGATCCTAAGTTCTTCTTACCTAGCTGATTTATAGCCTTTCTTCAAGTGACTCATCTGGCTTCTAGATTAGTTAGCTCCACCTGCTCTGTTGTCCCAAAACACCATGTACTTTCCCCTTTATACTGAAATCATAAATATGCATTACCCCTGGAATGAGAGGTAAATTTTTTGCTTATTGTTTTGTCTGCTATGTAGCAGACACTCAATGCATGTTTGTTGAACGCATGAAGGACTGCGTGTCCTTAAAACTCAAACTCAATGCTATTGAGTTGATTAGCGCTCCTAGTGACAATGTAGAACTGTCACAGTGGGCACGCGTAGTTGGGGCTGGGGTTGGGGGAGTAGAAAGCCTCATCTTTTCTCTAAGGACTGGCTGGTGGTTTCAAACTGCTGACCTTGCAGTTAGCAGCCCAGTGGGTAATCCAGTATGCCACCAGGGCTCTGAATGGATGTCCATCATACTAATACCCAAATCATTTTCTTAATCCAGACATGTCTTACTTGTCCACAGTCATGGTCTTTGTCTAAGCCATCATTATCTTCTTTCTCAATCCTTCAGTCATCTTCCAAGTTGTCTCTTGACTGTCTGCTACTTCTTGTCCCATTATAGTCTATTCAGCATGGTGCTGCCCTTGTGATGCAGTGTAAATGCTCACCAGTTTATGACACAGCAGCTCCAGCTTTTATTACTTTGGTTTGTTCTCAGAATAAAAGACACTTCTTACCTTGACCTTTGAGACACTGTATGATGGCCTGACAGTCCCTTTGATGCCATGTCTTATCCCTTCCTTTCTTCACTGTGTCCTCTTGTTCCAACACCAACCAGGCAAAGGTCCCTCCTAGAGCGGTGCTGTGCTGTGGTGTTTACAGCCCATGGAAGGGATTGGTTTGCTCCCTTCCTCATTCAAGCTCTGGTCTCTTTGTTACCTTCTCTTCCTGCTTCAATTTTCTCATAACAGTTACCTCGGGTCTGTGGCATTTGTGCATTTGATGATTAATTTCTCCTCCCCCATTTTAAAGAATTCTCAGTGAAGGAAAACGAGTTGCTTTATTCATTGCAATCGCCTCAAACAAAGGGTGCTGGCCATGCTGCCAGGTAAGCAGTGGACTGCTAATCACAGGAGAATGATGAGGCTGCCGGCTTCCTTAAAGACTTACAGCCTTGGAAACCCTCTATGGGTAGGGACACTATGAATTTGAATTGAGGCAATGGCAGTGGATTTGGTTTGGGGTTTTAGCCTGAAACATTTTCTTGATGTTGTTGGCAAGTTGCTTCCTACTGAGAGTGAAACTGTGTACAATAAAAAGACAAGATTGCCACGTCCCATTCCCTCCTCACTCGTTCTTGTGTCTGAGCCTCTTGTTGCTGCCATTGGGGCAATCCACCTTGTCGAGGGTCTTTCTCTTTTCTATGGCTCCTCCACCCTCTTTCGTGGACCGGTTTCTTCCAGATAACATGTCCAAAGTACATGAGGTGGAGCCTTGTATTCCTTGCTTGTTAGGAGCATTCTGGCTGTACTTTTTCCAGCATAGATCTGTTGGTCCTTTTGACAGTCCATGCTACTTTAAATATTCTCCACCAGCACCATAATCCCAATGCACTAATTCTTTTTCGATATTCCTTTTTCAATGTCCAACTTTCCCATATATATGAAGTAATTGAAAATACAATAGCTTGGGACAGGCACACCTTAGTCCCCAACCTAACATCCTTGCTTTTCAACACTTTAAAGAGGCCTTGGATGGCACATTTACCCCGTGCAATGTGTCCTTTGATCTCATGACTGCTGCATCCGTGAGCATTGATTGTGGATCCAAGCTCATGGGAATCCTTGACAGCTTCAGTCTTTTCTCTGTTTATCACGGTATCACCGACTGATAGAGTGTGAGGTTTTGTTGTTTGTTTTTACATTACTTTACAATCCGTACCGACGGCCGCCGTCTTTGGTCTTCATCAGCAAGTACTTCAAGTGCTTCATTTTCTTCGCATTCAGTAAATTCACTGCCATTGAATCAACAGTTGAGTATTTCTCGAGTTGGTTAAGTGGAAGTAACCTTTCGACTGGAATCCTTACCACCATATGCCTCTACTCTTTATTTTCGCTGGAATAGAAGCCAGTGAAAAGCATTATCATCTTTCAATTTCTAATTCAAATACAGCCATACTGGAGTACCCATCCCTAATTCCCTCATGAGACCTGATCTTTTCCTTGCCTGATCCTTCATATGTAATTTAAATGAAGCAATGGAAGGTTTTTAACTGTTACTTGAAATATAAATTTTTATTACTGTCATTCACGTTTATAGACAATGTACAAATAATATAAATGTTAGCTAGCCTTCATGCTTGTGGTCCCAAACCTTTGCAACATGGCAGAAAAGATGACTCCTGCGGGAGCATCAAGTGTCATGTGTTCAAATGTATTTTCCACTGGGATTGGTTCACCTAATGACTGATCACCTCAGTGCCTCTGAATCGATGGTCATTCATGGGTCCTGTGAAACAGTAGGACTGCCTCACGGGGTTTCCGGGGGTGTAAATCCTGCTCGAGGAGACTGCCACATCGTGCCCCCAAAGGGAGCCAATGGGGGCTTCAAAGTGCTGACCCTTCTGTTAGCAGCTGAGCGCTTTAAACACACAGCCACCAGAGCTTCGAATAACTTACTAAAGCAGGTGCATTGAAACAAATCCATTCTTTTTTTCACAATGATGAGTTCATATATGACGTGATGCACTTTCAATAGTTCGTAGAACGAGGCAATCTATAGCTGCTCTCCCCATTACCCCATGGTAGTCAAATAATGCTTCCCTGGAAAAGCATTACCTTTATTTTAGGATATTAATAATTGCACACCCTAGCTCATTGCTATTGTAGCGATTGGAGATGTACTGAAATTGTGTCGCTAGCTCTTTAAACTTGTTTTCCTTTCCAATTTCCGCCCCTGTCTGGTCATCCTCGTGGCTGCCAGCACCCTTTCATGTTGGTTGCTATTTGATCCAGACTGTCCCTGGGGTTAGTGGTTGGGTTACTCATGGGCTGCTCACCGCAAGGTTTGCTCTTTGACCCCACCAGTCAGTCAGTGAGAGAAAGAAGAAGCTGTTTGTTCCAGTAAAAGCATGCAGTCATCAGAACGCTCGGTAGCAGTTCTGCTCAGTCCTATTGGGGTCATTTTGAGTCAGACTTGACTGACAGTCGCCTTTTTTTTTTTTTTTTTAATACCTTGTAACTTAGTCCGTGAACTTCTTAATAACCCATTTTACGGGCTAGGACACAGCCAAAGACATAAGGGATTCCTCACGCTTTGAGGATTGATCCAGGAGAGAGTATATTGTTTTATTTTTCCTTCCAAAAAGCTTTCTAGCATTTTACTTCAGCATATGTTCATTTTCATTTGTCAATTCTATAAGCTGGCAGGTAAACATTATGAAGGTAATATGTTCATATATGAATTTTATTTTTTAGATTTTAATATTTGCCTGTGATGCCTGTAAAAACGTTGCACTTCATGTTCCTTCCAAGCTCAATGCTGAGAAATTTATTGGTAGAGGTAAGAAACTTCAAAAACTGGGCAATATGTCTTCATTTTGTTTTAGCTTTTTAAAATTTACTCTAAGTTTTGGAAATAAATGTAGTGTGACCAAAAGTTAAGATTGGTATGGTACATTATAATTTTACTGCGTTTGGCATATTACAATGAAAGGAATATTGTTCTCCATTGAAAACATCTCTATGTCAGGTAGATAAAAAGCTTTAACTTAAGTAATAAGATAATTACTCTAGGATTAATAACATATTAATCATTACAGACTAATATTAAACAAAGTATATAAAAAGTATTATGAAGTGCTTCTTTGAAACTATTTATTGGATTTAAAGGTGCAATTTCTAAAGTTTTATTTTAAGATATTTTGACTGACTTTTAAATAAATTGTTTATAAATTCACATGTTTATGTAACTTTGTTATTTGAGAGAACATTGAACCAATGAGAAAATAATGAAATAATGAAAGTATGTTGTATTAGAAGTTATGTATGTGTTTAAGTGCAACTTAAATAGCTATATATATATGAGCATCTCTTCAAAAAATGCACAATTTGCAAGACTCAGTCTACTTAATTTTTAAGTTTTTGGCATCCTCCCAAATGCACAGATCATTGGAAAATTTTATCTTCTTCTTTTTACCATCCAAATGATGATTGATATGTCTATTGTCTACAGTTAACCTGAAGGATTGCCTTAAATCTGCACATCTAATTCGCTCAAGTGATCCTGATTTCCGAATTTTAGAAGATGGCTCGATTTATACCACAAATACTATACTGTTGTCCTCAGAGAAGAGGACTTTTACCATCTTACTTTCCAACGCTGAGAACCAAGAGAAGAAAATAGTTGTGGTTTTAGAGCATCCAACGAAGGTATAACCAGACGACAAAGTGAAGGTCATGATGTGCTTTCCTCACGTGGAACTACAAGGGAAGATGGAGAATCAGAAAGGGGGTGGGATAATTTGGCTTGGAGGAGATTAAAACTGCTAGGCAATTTAACTGTATTTAAACAGATCATTAAGGCTTGTTAATACGTTTTGTTAAATTCACAAAAAAGAGGAACTGGCCTAAGCTACAATATGATATTTGAGATAAGACACAAAGCAACATTTCTCTATGTATCCTATAACATGGGTGCTTAATAACAAGTTTTAAAACTTTTTATCTCTGAAGGTTTCATTCATTGTAGCACAAATGATAATATCAGAAACTAGATGACTATGTTGTTTGAAGTTTAGCCCTCGCTCACGTATAGTGTATCATGACAACCCAAGATCAAAATGACTTCTATTCAGCCACTGGCCACTTCCTACTGCAGCCCTTCTGAAAATTGTCCCCGTGTTTCTTTTCTCATTTGGACACAGCACTCTGTCAGCTTCCCGACTCTGCTCTTTGCTGGTGAGTGGGAGACGCCTGTGCTAAATTCATCAGGCTGCACACTTTGCTTGTTTCCATTACATCTCCCTCCTCCCATGTTATTGCATGGAAACCGTGCTTCATTGATTCATTTCGTTTTTTTAAATGTCTTCTAAGTTCCCGGCCATTTCGCTTCCATATTGCCACCAAACTCTCTTCTCAGAAGGATTGCTGGACAGCGATCCTTCCTCATTATCTTTTTGTGCGGTGTTCATGTTTAGTTTGGTTTCCAAGTACTACCATTATCTTACATTTCCCCAGCCTCTTCTCATGCACAGAAAAAGATGCGTCATGGTGCTAATGATTGAGGATGAAACAAATAATAAATGTCCTTGTTGTTTTTTCTCTTTTCTAAATTGAGGTTTTAAAGAAAAGGCATTCTAAAGAAAAAGTTCTTCAACGAGCCAAGAGAAGATGGGCCCCTATTCCTTGTTCCATGCAAGAGAATTCCTTGGGGCCTTTCCCACTTTTTCTTCAACAGGTACCTTTTATTTTCCTTGTCTTTTGTCCATCTATGGTTTTCTTTTTAAAAAAACTTAACAAATTAGTTGTTTATGAGCGTACGAGTGCATGAGCATATATAAATCATATAGAGTATAAATATACGGTTTTATATCTACTTACACTTTTACAATCCTTTAGTCATGCAAATGTCATATATGAAACTGAAAACTCTCTACAGGGTCTAACATATTGTTGCGTAATGAATTTTCATATCAGAAAGGGTATCAGAGAACCTGAGTGTAGCTGTGAAACTCCAAAAAGACTCCCTGAGAAAGGATGACAAAAGCCACCTGCCATAAAGGAGAAAGCCCCGACCAGCTGTCTGTGGCTTATCCCACTGCATACGGGATCCAGGTCGGCCGTCTCCCTCTGAAGGGTTGGTTCCCACTGCACACGGGATCCAGGTCGGCTGTCTCCCTCTGAAGGGTTGGTTCGTAGAAATGCCAGGAAGTCCTTCCTCCTTCTGCTGCTCGTGCCAGCTACCATTCAGTTTATGGCTTGGGTTACTTTTCCCCTGTCCTTTAAATAGGAAAAGAAAGTCCTCCTCTATAGCCCACCTACAGATGAGATGAGAGGAGAGTATATTAAAGCTTTGGGAAAAAAATAGTTTAGAAAACCATTGTGCTGGCCATACTGGTCAAAAGATAGTCAAGATTTTACTGAGAGGATAGAAACAGCTAGGAAGGAAATTACTTTGGGAATGAAAGACCGGAATTGCACGCCTGTCAGGATATTCTCTTACTTTTACTCTCCCTCCTCCGTTGCTTTCCCCACTCAGCCTCTATCGTAAGGAAGCCGCTGACAAATAATGGAAACTAATTAAGGAACACACTCTCCAAGGTTATGATACCCGGGAGTCAGGACACCTGAAACCTAATGTCTGTACTATTAAGGCCCATTCACGAAACATTTAGCTCTTTAAAAGACGGTGTGTTGTTGTTTTTTCTTAAAAAAAAACAACCACCACATATTTTTATGTTCAGAATACTTTCTTTGTTTTCTAAGACAGGGACTTCTCCTCACTTGATAGTGCTTGGTTCTATAAGTGTCATTAGCCTTTCAAATAGTCCTCAGTTGTTCTCGAACACTAAGATGCTACTGTGTTATTTTCCTCAGGCTTGTCTTTTAGATGACTCAGTTAGTAGCCTTCATTGTCCTATAGCTGCTTTTTATCCAAGGCAGTAATAAATTATAGAGCAAGTCTTTTTCCATGGACTCTTTTTTTGGAATAATAAGCAGCATAAACATATAAATGAAAGTTTTGATGAAACATAAACTTGTTTATTTTGTATATGTCTACTTTCTAGATTCAGTCCGATACAGCACAAAACTACACTGTGTACTATTCCATCAGAGGGCCTGGCGTTGATCGAGAACCGATAAATTTATTCTATGTAGAGAGAGACACAGGAAACCTGTATTGTACTGGTGCTGTAGATCGTGAACAGTATGAGTCTTTTGAGGTAAAGTCTAATATTCATATATTGTATCAGTAAGTGTTTTGGTTGGCCACTTAGAAGTGGGTTAAGTTTTGGGTTGCTGCCCACAATGTCACCAGTTGAAAGATGAGACTCTGTTGCTCTAAAGATTAACGGTACCGGAAACCCCACAGAGCACTCCTACTCCATCCGTACGTCAGAATTGGCTTGATGGCAGTGAGTGTCCTCAGTTCATTTACTCCGGCTGCTTTTCTGAGTGTCTCAGATGATACTGTGATTATGTTAATAACACCCTCTTTACAGGAAGCAGGTACTGTTCATCGAAAAAATCAATAGCAATCGAATGCTTTTGTAGATTGTTCTTGATGTGCTGTTTTTATTCAAAAGGGCCATTTTAAAAGCCGCTATTCTGTTGGCAGAAAAGATTATTGAACCTCTTTAGGGTGCAGAAATGCCCAAGAGGTTAGTGAGGGACAGATAGCACACCTCAGCACCAGATATATCGCCTTTATCACCTTTGTAATGGAAGAAAGCTCACGTGTGAAGAGCAAGGAAGGATTTTGGATAGTGGTTCACTGGGATTATTTAACCCTTTAGTCACCTAGGTAATTTCCCACAGTGGGATGATGGGAAATAGGTATTTTACCAAATTTGGACTTCTCACTGAAACTGAGTCATTGTGAGCAACTACATTTGAATGATTTTGCATTTATTATCCAGAGACCAAGTTGACTGAGTAGATATTTAAACTTAGAATCAATGTTCAGATTTAGAAATACTGCAATGTAGTCTTCCGGGTACCGGTAATGCTCTGTGCCTTTTATGATGGCGATTCCAAGAAAAGTTGGAATTGATTCTCATGTTATAAAATCAAAAGGAGGTATGTTCCTTAGTCCGTTTGCAGCTGTTCATTTCTGACTCTTGCTTTTCAAATGAAACAAAAAATGTTTATGAAAGAACTTTATAAACTTAGCAAAATGCTTAAAATCCTAACAAAAAATAAAATAATGACTCAATTTTCTCAGGGTAAAAGAAATCCAAAGTGTAAAAAGTACTAGAAAGTTGCATTGAAAAATCTAATATTTAAAATCAAAAGCTTTCAAACACAACAAAAATCTTCAAGACTATTTTAGGAAAATAATGAAACTGTTAAGTTCCTGACAGTAATACTGCAGTGGTAAAGAGCCTAAAATGTGTTTATGCTGTTAAATTAAATAACTTCTACTATAAAATGCTATCCTACATCAATAATTTTGTCATCTATTTTGGCATTAAAACAGTAACAAGTAGCAAAACTCATTCTATGAAGCTGAGCACTCTCCAAATTCAAGCGCAAACCAAATTGAACTGTATCTGTTTGAACAGTTAATTTTCATTCTTTCTTCCTCACAGCTGGTCGCCTTTGCGACAACTCCAGATGGTTACACTCCAGAGCTTCCACTGACCCTACTTATCAAAATTGAAGATGAAAACGACAATTACCCAGTTTTCACAGAGGAGACTTACAGTTTTACAATTTTTGAAAATTGCCGAGTTGGTGAGTACCCACCTAAAATTTTTGGTTTCGTTACCAACTGCTCTCCGTTGCTCCCGCCACACCCCTAGCTCCGTTCATGGCAAGTCCATGAACCATGAGATCAAACTGTCACAAGGCATGGGATTTTCACAGGTTGATTTTTAGAAACAGACCGCCAAGCTTTTAAGCTCCCTGTGTTTTTTCCATCTACTAGCTCTGCTGACTCCTGTTCAGCCTCAGAGCAGACATACAGTCCTCCCTTGACGGAGGAGTGGTGGCAGCACTGGAATGCACTGACTGGGAATTGAACCTGGGTCTCCTACGTGGAGGAGCAGATTCCTACCACTGAACCACCCTGCTGTCAGCATTAAAAATATTTCTCTTATTTTTGTTGTTAGTTACCTTCTAGTTGATTCTGACTCATGGCAACTCCAAGTGTGCATCGTAAAACTTCTTCATAGGCTTTACAAGGCTGTGAGTTTTCAGAAGCAGATGCCAGATCTGTCCTCCAAGGTGCCTCTGGTGGGTTCAGATGGCTGGCATTTTGGCTAGTAGGTGAGCACTTCACCATTTGCCCCACAACATATGGCTCGTTCCATGTGGTTCAGTTCATGAGATAAACTTCACTGTGGCCAATGGAAGCTAGCATGTCCTGCTGTCAAGACAAGGGACTTGCTAGCCAGGCTGCATTGGGTGTCATTTTACTTGCCCTTTTATGAGTTATGTGATCCTGCGGAAATTTCTGACTCCTAATAAACCTTAGTTTCCTTATCCGTACAAAGATATTTTTGATAGATAAGATTGTTATGAAGATTAAATGAGGCATGATAGACATGGACTGCCAAGTATACTACTGAAAAATAAGTTACTCAAAAAAGCGTTACTTTGCTTCTCCAATGTGAGCTGAAACAGATTTACTTTTAAGATAAAAGGAGTAAATTTTTAAAGAATTAAAACCTAGCTTTGAGGATATTTACTGTTATAGTTGATATTTATAGTGATTACATGACTGAAAATATTATGGACTTTATGTTAAAAATCATCAAAAATGCTACAAATATTTTATCCAACTTATAAAACAGGCCATTGTAACTGGAAGTGAGAATTCAGAATGCAGTTTCTAAGTCATCCTCTAGAAAGAGGTAACTGAGCTAAGAATTGTCAGAACAAACTGACTCAAATGGTCCATTTAACTAATTTTAATGGACTAAATAGAATTCTATAATCTAGAATGGCAAAGGCCATGGAAGAATATAATCAACGTTTGTAAAACTATAAACTAAATGCAAAATGTTAGAATTTTAATGCATGTTAAAGCAAATGAAACTTAGACTTATATATAAGAAGCCATTATTCTGATCTATAATCAAGTAGCCCAACACTATTTTGAGGTAGGTGGAGAGGAGTGAAATAGAGGCGGTGAACATGTTGTAAAGGTTTGCACATCACAGAGTAGTTTTCAATATACAGGTTCTACGGTGGGGCAGGTGTGTGCAACTGACAAAGATGAGCCCGACACCATGCATACCCGGCTGAAGTACTCCATCATTGAGCAGATGCCAGCATCGCCAACCCTATTCTCCATGAATCCCAAGACTGGGGTCATAACCTTGTCTTCGCCTCAACTGAACAGAGAGGTAACTTATAGTTATGAATATTAATGAAAAGCTACACTACGACTACTTAACACTATTGTTATATCTCCTTTAATCCGCGTTTTTGAAAAGTATGTTGAGAATCACATTTGAGAAAAATTCATACTGAAAATATGTTAGTGGAGATTATTAAATAGCTTACAGTATACTATCTTTGAAGTGGTACTTCATTCTTTCCAGACTTTTATAAAATCTTAATATTAACATCTGTTATAAACACAAAATATGTCAACTATGAAGAATGAATCTTGGCCGTAGGTGAAAATTTTCTATCTACAGAGTGAGAAGTGCTTTTCTTTTTCTGTCTCATCTCAATAACGTCATCTAAATTTTTCCCCTTGGGTAGACAACAACAACAACAAAAATCTCAGTATCTCTAATCTCTGATTTCCCATTTTCAATTGATTGCTAGCCATTCTTATTTGGACATGGCATGGGTCCCCAAGGCACACACCTCGAAGATTAAATTCTTCTTTCCTCTAAATGCGCTCCCCTTTCCACGTTTCTGATGGAAGGTCGTGTGAATGCCTTGTTTTCCCCTCACCTAATTTTATTCTGCTGTCCCCGTGGAGTCCTGTTGTGGAAACTGTATTACATGCCTCCTCCTGCTGCTTAGGTCAGCAAACTTTTCAAAGCATGCTCATCTTACTTCACATTTTGTTTTGCACTTCGATTTAGTTCATTTCTACCGAAATCTTCATAATTTAGATATTTATTCAACTATTACCTTGACCAAAAATCATTTATTCATATAAATTATGGCAGTTTAAATGACCTATTTGTTAAAATGGTAACCTTTAATCTCACGAATATAGTAATATCATTTTTAGATGTTTCTTGGTTGTTCAAACTTCCTATCATATTCTTGTCTTTTTATCTTGCATGGATTAGAGCAGCATTTCTCTAATTTTTCTAAGCAGTTTTTGGCCCCTGCCTGCTTTTTTTTTCCATTTTCATGACATTTTTTCATTCATCCAGTATCACAGAATGCTCATTTATAAGTTATTCCTCTGATCTTATTTCAATATTCTTATTTCTGTTTTCATTGTTTCACTCTCACCGACCCAAACTCCGAACATATTGACTATAATCTACAATGTTGATAGCACTTTAAATTTGATAAATTACTGTATTTTCATACACTACTTGAAAATAACTAGTGTGAGGAAACTAGTCTCCTGCCAGTACAAGAAGGATATGAAATAGATTACACCTCAATTTATTAATGTGATGAAACTTACAGAATATAAATGAAGATTTCATTGATAATGGTATTGCTTTTGTCCAATCATACAATTCCTTGTTTTCAGTCAGTTAATAAGTACCGGTTAAAAATAAAAGTGCAAGACATGGATGGCCAATATTTTGGATTGCAGACAACCGCAGTTTGTATTATTAATATAGAAGATGTGAACGACCACTTGCCGACCTTCACTCGTACTTCTGTAAGTACATAACATTGACGGGAGGAAGATTTGTAATACAGTGAGATAATAATAATAATAATACTCTCTCCATAGGTTTCCTATGATTTCTTCCAATGTGGTAGCCCCACTGACATGGCAGCAGTTTGGTCTTAGTTCTTGAAGTCAGTTAACTATCGTGCTGTGTCTTGTGTACTTTGGAGATCCTATCAGGAAAAACCTGTCCTTTGAGAAGGACGTGGTGCTGGTAAAGTAGAGGGTGAGCAGGAAGATGACAAACCACTGTATTGACACAGTGGCTTCGACAAGAGGCTGCAGTGTGGGGTCCCAGGGTGGGCATGAGAGTGAGGGTAGCGCAGGACCAGACAGGGCTTCGTCCTGCTGTCCAGCGAGCTGCTGTGAGTTGGAACCAGCTTGTGCACTTCTGGCACCAAACACGGTGCTTTGGGAATTAGAAGAATGAAGCTTAGTTTTGCATAATATTCTGTTTTTGTGAAATTTACTAATAACTTTTTTTGTTCATTTTTTTCCTCCAGTATGTGACATCAGTGGAAGAAAATACAGTGGATGTGGCAATCTTACGTGTTGCTGTTGAAGATAAAGATTTAGTTAATACTGCTAATTGGAGAGCTAATTATACCATTTTAAAGGGGAATGAAAATGGAAATTTTAAAATTGTGACAGATCCCGTGACCAATGAAGGAATTCTGTGGGTGGTGAAGGTAAGAAGAAACTAGGAAGCTAGTTATTTGGAGTTTAGAATGCCAAAGGTTGACCAGGTAACGTTGAATGAAAGGAATTCTGCGTAGTGTAGACTCAAAATAACTATCAGTATGAATGAAATGTTCACAATACATGTAATGGCAGGTATGATGGGCAGCAGCAGCATATGTTTGCAACTGAATTGCTGGAGTATCCACCTTGTAATCGATAGCTTTTAAAAACTTTTTTTATTGTGAGTTATATGAGAGTTTACAGGTCAAATCAGCATGTTTGCATTCAACAAACTTATCATACTTATCAATTGCCTACCCTGTTTCCATCTTTTTTTCCCCATCACCCTTCTGCTGGATAATGTTCTCAAGGTTAGAACAGAAGTTAACACCTCTAGCCTCTTACTTCCCCTTCCTTTCTCTCCCTTCCCACTTCGGATCTGTTTCTTTTCATGTGAAAACCTGTTCTTGATTTTGTAATAGCAATGTGTCATCCAAATGTGTCCTTGCGTGATGGGCTGATTTCACTCAGCATCATGCGCTTCCATTCTCCCCGGGACATGCGTGTTTCCCAGACTCATCCTCATTCTTGAGCATTGCGTGGCATCTGTTCCCTTGTGTGGATGTGCCAAAGCTTGTCTCTTCATTCTTCCACGGCTAGACATCTAGGGTGTTTCCATCTTCTTGTTTTCAACTAATAGAATACAGTGTCGACTTGGTACTCCGTCGCTCGTGGCAATCCCAAAACTCGCACAGTGTTGATGCCGGTGGCACACAGTCACGTGTTCCTTTCCATCCTTTCTGTAGCAGCATCACGGAGCTCATCCTTGATGATTGAATTGTGCAAGTGATGTGCTGTTAGGCCTTATCAGACCCATATAGAGGCTACTTGTAGCTCGGCTCCTCTGTATCTACTATCCTTAGCATCTACAACCTCAGCCATTCCAGTATGTGAACATTCTTAACCCCTCCCACTGCTGTTCTTTCCACAGCCCCTCGGAGGGAGTCACTTTTCACTCCGAAGCCCCAGGGCGTCCCTGACACTCTTTGAGCTCTATCTGCTTGGGAAAATGCTTGTGCTTGGCTCCGCCTGCTCATCAGCCCAGTTATGATTCCGGCATCGATCTATGGAGTTTCCCTTATCCATATTCTCAAGGGGCACAAATCAAAATTGATAAATGGGCATTGTCTTTACAATCATAAAGATTAGTTGAAATATATGAATTAATTTCTGTTTCGAAGTGAGTGTTTTCTTGTGTCCCCCTCCCCCCTTCACTTTCCAGCACTCAATCTTTGCTCTGATCTGTGATATTCTAAGAAGGGAATTTGTCTTTGTGAAGGCTGAGACCTAACGACGTATCGGAATTCCAAAAAGTGCCTTCACCCATTCTCTTTACAGCTGTACATCAGGCAAAAGTAAAGTAACTGGAATGTGAAACTGACCAGCGCGTGGAGTCAATTCTAACTCCTAGCAGCCCCCTAAGACTGAAGAGAACTTCCCCTTCGGGTTTCCAAGGCTAACCCTTACTGGAAGTGGTTTGCTACATCTGTCTCCTGATGGGCTCGAACCACTCCTCTTTAAGTTTAGTGCTTAATGACTGTGCAAACAGGGCACACTATAACTGGGATAACCGTGAGGAAAGGGAAATATAATTTCCATAAACCTTCTGTTTTCATATCCCTTTGGTTTTAAAGGTATTTTCTAAAACTTGACTCACTTTTCTATGACATGTCAGGCACAGGTTATAATTTCCCTTTTTACGTGAGGAGAGGACAAGCTATTCGAATATTAATAGAGTAATTAATACATTAGTTTTGGTTGCGTCTGAATGACTTAACCTCCCATCACATGTATTACATTTTGAAATCTTGATCAGAACCAGTGAATTATTGGTGTTAACTCTGCAGTTGAGGAGCGGGCTAAATTTTTTTGTTGTTTTGATCGGGTTGCTTCACACAAATATTGGATCAGCTAAAGGATTGATTCTTTCCTCCCTCCTCCATCGCCAAATGTCTGGATGCATGCTTCCTAGTCTCGTGATTATTTCGAAGGCAGCAGTTACAGATTTTTAATTTTAACTAGTTGTGCATTCTAGTTAGCATTGGCAACTTTCAAAGGACCTGAGCTACTTTTCAACCCCTATGTCAATGCAGCCTCTGAACTATGAAGAAAGACAGCAGGTGGTCCTGCAAATCGGGGCCCTCAACGAAGCACCCTATGCTAAAGAGTTGACGGCCAACACAGCCATGAGCACTGCGACCGTTACTGTTGATGTGAGAAACCAGGACGAGGGCCCAGAGTGTAGCCCTCCGTTTCAGACGGTTCAGATTAGAGAAAACGCCCCTGTGGGATCACGGAGCCATGGGTATAAGGCGTATGACCCAGAGAGCAGAAGCAGCAGCGGCATCAGGTATGTATCATTCTCCTGTCTGCAACTGCAATGCAATGTGGTTTCTAAGTACATCACTTATTTCAATCGCCATGGGATGACTGAACTCACTGTAACTTTTGTTGTTTGAATTCACCGAAATGAGCAGTTACAGGAAAATAAATGATCCGAGAGGGTGGGTCACCATTGATGAGAAGACAGGATCAATCACCACTTTTAGAAGCCTGGATCGAGAAGCCGAGGCAATCAGAAATGGTATCTACAACATCACAGTCCTCGCCACAGACAAAGGTAAGACTTGTATGTACATTCATGATGTATTCCTACATCACAGTACGTGTCTCTGCGGAACATTTCCTCTTTTTAATAAATACATTTAAAAAGAAGAGTTTAGCCTCGGTAGCAACTCTGCAGGCTTGCTGTGAGTCGTGTGTGACAATGCCTTAGAGTTCCTTCGCAGTCTGAGAACACCGTGTGCAGTCGTGATGGTTCCAAACCGCTTCTTGGCTCGCTCTGTGGCGCTCCTGTCCTCAGGCGACCCTGAAGATAGCACGCCCCATCCCGATGCCATAGCTGTCAATGCTGGATGCACTTTCTTTCCATCTTCTGGAGGTGGTAGCGCAGCCTAAAACATAGCCCCAGAAGTGATAGCACACGGGTTTTCTCTCTTCCTCAGACCTCCCTAGAGAAGAGAGGTTGGAACAGAGATCCCGGATTGGCTTTCAGCTTTGCCTTCATAACTTTGTTACCAATTTACAATCTCGATCCACACCTGCTTCCCTTTCTAAACCCTCAGACTTTGCATTGCAGCGTCTTGGAGTAGCTATTCAGGAAAGGGCTATCGAAGTAGATAGATGGTTCCTCAGACTACCCTCCATTGTGATTATCTCAATTGTCAAACACTTCTCCCATTCTTTAGTTCTTCACACATCTTTAAGTGCTATTTTTTTTGTTCTAATTGTCCAAAGGGGTCTCTTCTAATATTCAGTCTCTCTGTTCTAAACCTTACATCCTTTTTATCATTTATTAATTCCAGGCTCCTGACTCGGGCAGTCAAGGAGACTTTTGTTTGTGTTTTAATTTTCTTGCTGTTTGTTTTAAACTTTTTTCAACATTTTCATTGAAACAAAATTTTTAAAGTGGGGATCTCCATTTCAGGTGATCAGCTTCAGCTCTCCCAATAGCTTACCTTTCCCCCACACCTTTGATAGATCTTTTTTCTCTTGTGAGTTAGTATCTTACCCTTTACCCAAGATAATGCCTGTCACCCTCCAACTTGTTGTTTACCTTCCCCCCACCCTCGGCACTCCCCCACTTGGTAACTCCTAAAGTCTGCTGTCTTTGGCATGCTAGCATTCCTGGGTGATTTGTGCTTGCTTGCTTTTTAGGAGGAGCCTGGCTTTTAGTCTCAACACCCACCAGGCTCTCTTTCCCTTCATTGCCCCCAGATCACACTATGAGTCTATTGCACCTCCTAATGTTTTTATCCTTTCAAATATATCAGACATGCCCTTGTTCATGAGCTCTCCTTTTGCCCCCTGAAAATCAGTCAATGCTGGCCTCTATACAAATTCTTATGTCTATCCCTGCTTTTTAGTGAATGATAGAATACAGCCAAATAACAATTATTGTGTATAAACCCAGTTGAAAACAACCAAGGTTTTTTTTTAGTATTTCTTTTGTTTTTTAGTATTTAGTATTTATTATGGTGCTTGTTATTATAGTTCGTATGATATAGATTCTTATTAAATATTTTTAAATATACCCAACTTACAATATCCTGGTGAAAACTCAAAACTTATTTGTTTTTCTAGATGGAAGAACATGTACTGGAACACTGGGACTTATGCTTGAAGATGTGAATGACAATGGACCATTCATCCCTACACCAACAGTGATCATCTGTAAACCCACCATGTCCTCTGCGGAGATTGTCGCTGTCGATCCTGATGACCCGAAGCATGGGCCACCCTTTCAGTTCACAGTGGAGAGCGGTCCGGGTTCAGATGCGCAGGCCATGTGGGAACTGACAAGACTTAATGGTATGCATTCCTAAATATAGCTTTGGTCTCAACATCAGGATGTGTAAACTCTTTTTCTCGGTCCACTAGAAGGATAGTCTACTGTGTGGGAACCACCAATGAAGGACAGTAAGTGTATGCGTTTCCGTGTGGTCGGAGGTGGCCTGGGGTCCGTCTCTAACTCGGTGCAGGAATTCGCTTAGCTATTACATGAGTTCTCACTTCCACTGCCAACGTCCCAGCCCTGACTTGTGTACCTCCAGGAAGAGAACCTCTTTTCTTGGTTTTGGCGCTCCATGAAGTTGACTATGCAGTGGAGTTTAATCAGAAAAGGTGTTTGTTGGTTAAGAAGTGATCAGGAGTCATAAGAAGAAGGAGAAGCAAGATTGGGCAGAAACAGCGTGAAGTGACAGCCCCGGGGTATGCTCTGTCGCCTCTGAGGCAATAGTGGCCCTTCACAGGGGTCCCGTAGAGAGCTTTGATATGCAATATGATTGCTCATCACTCACTCAGTCACTGTGGGCCACCCAGCGGAGTGCGGCCTTTGTAGAGAAGGTACAGACAGCCCCCCTAGAACAATAAGCTATTCATCGCAGGGGGCGCTCGGCATGCGTCATCGCGTCTGCCAGCCATCCCTCTTCTCGGTTCACTTGTGACCATTTCTTCTCTATTTTGTGCTCCTTGGGGTTCTTCCAACCCCATCCCCAGTCCCTCCTTGTCATTTCAGTTCAGGGATGGATCTAATGTGATAAGAAGGACAAAAGTGCAGGGAACCCCTTTTCACGCGGCCATTGCACCGCTCCATGCATTAGCTCCTAACTCTGCTGCATGTCGTTGGTCTCCTGCCCACCCTGTCCCTGGACCCTGGCAGTAAATGCTATGGGATATCTCTGTCTGATCTCTGGCTTCCCTCTTGCCACAAAGCAGGGGTCAGACCTGCCTCCAGGCATTCTGACCCTAGTGTGACACCCACCGTTCATCCCAGACCACTCTAGGTTTTTTATGCTGGCGTCCATCTTTCATTGTAATGGCCACACGGAACTCACAGACACTACTCATAATTAAGGGGGCTATTCGGGGAATTACTAGGTTACCACAAGTCACTAAACAGTAAGAATGCAGTCTTTCTGATCTCCCAGGGACCAAAGGCAGTATATATGGAATGGTTTAATTTGGTGTTGTAAATAAAATGATAAAACGAATGTCTTGCCTCGTCCAATAATTATGGTTGGAAGAGCCAGATGGAAGATTAAAATGCATGATTCCAGAAACCAAAAGGCCTTTCCGAGACAGTGGAGACCAGCTTTTATATGGAGTGTGTTTGCCGTAAGGTAAATCGGCACAGTCCGTCTCATACTCAGTCTTGGAGCAGTTGTGTCATTCCATTAGGGACACCCATTTGGAGGGACATATGATGAAGATTCCATATGTAGTTATTTATATTGAGGAGAGAATTTCACTGACATCACGTATGTTTGGCTTTCTTTTCTTTCAGATACCGCCGCACGTCTTCACTATAAGACTGATCCTCCTTTTGGAACATATGAAGTACCTGTCAGAGTCACTGATGTATTGGGCCAGTCTAAACTTACTATAGTCAATGTTTTGCTATGTGACTGCGTTATTGAAAATGACTGCACACTCCGGATCGGTGCAAGAACTGGCAATGCAAATATGAGACTTGGAAAATGGGCCATCCTTGCAATACTGTTGGGCATAGCATTGCTCTTTTGTAAGTCCTTCCATAAATTCAAATAGACATAGTCTTAAAATCAACGCTATTAACTATAACGGTTTCATTTATATGTAGCTGTATTTGCATTCAACACACACATATCATTAATTTATATATTTGATTCCATTTGTTTTTAGTTCTAGTATCTCTCTGGTTAAAATTGAAATATGAAAGGTCTTCAAAAAGGTTATGAACTGTATATATGTAAAAACTATGCATGGATTTCCCCAACCCCCTTTTTTATTTTGCCCCCAAATAAGTTCATAGTAACTTGTTAGAAAATGCCTCAGTAGGATCTCAGTTAAGGTACCCAGAATACTAAGCCATCAGTTAGAAAGGAACCACTCTCAGAGAAGCAAGAATTCTACAAAAATTGAAACGCAAACCTCAAATGTATGGGTGACGTTGGGTGGAAGAATGGTGAAATCATTAGTGCCATACAGAAAGTTCGTATGGACAAAGCCTTACAGAAATAAACAGTTTACAAACAGATAACTCATTTTGAGAAGGTCTAACACCATGTTGAAATTAAAACCCACGGTGACAGAACATTTGCATTGATTTTTGAAGGAAAAAAAATCCAGCTCATTTCCTAATTGACCAGGTCTGATAAGTAACATCAGAAATGATAGCTATCGATAGCTCAATTGGTTCAGTTTACGCAACTCTTACTGCAAAATTAAAGTCAAGCAACTCTCTGCTTGATAGGTGTCAACGCTGTTGTACCCACATCAGCTACAGACAAGAGCAGAACTTTCTGTGGCAATTTTCCATCAGTGAGACGAAGAAACGGGAGCATTTCTTCAAAGAATTAGAACAGGAGATGAAGCATGGCTTTCCCAGTCTGACCCTGAAGACGAAGCATAATCAGATTCATAGCCCCCGGACATGGAGTAGCCCAGTCAAAGCAAAAGCAGAAAGTTAGGGAAAGCTTTAGTTAAAAAAAATATATGTCTATAGGAGTCTCGGTGGTAGAAGGGACTACGAGTTATGCTGCTAACATTGAGATCAGCAGTTCAAAACCACCAGCCACTCCACAGGAGAAAGTTGAGGCTTTCTACTCCCATAAAGATTTACAGTTTTACTCTTATGGCCACTATGAGTCAGAGTCAACATGAGTTTGACAGTGGCAGTGAGTTTCTATTGCGTTTTAGCAGAAAAATGCCCAGGAAAGCTTCACTAGAGAGTGCCCTTCTTTCAGCAAGACAGTGGTCCTGCTCACCCCGCCCATCAAGCAAGGGGCAGTCTGCAAGTTTCAATGCGAATTCATTAGGCACCCACCACTCAGGCCTGATTTGGTGCTTTCTGAATGACTATTATCTCCTAATCTTAAAAGACTTTAAATTGCACCCATTTGTCTTTAGTTTATAATGTAAACAAACCTTCATTGACATGGTTCAGTTCCCAAGACCTTCATTTCTTTTAGGGAAGGGTTAAATGATGAGTCTCATCACTTACAAAGTGTTTTAAAGGAGATCGGGCTCAAAAGTGAAGTTTATATACATATTTTTTATTTTACATAAACCCCATTCTTTCCATGAACCTTTGGACATCCCTTCATAGAATTCAATGAAGAAACAGATCAGGGAGCATATATTTGTTCATGGCATATCTGTGTCGTGTACACTTCTCTTCTGTAAACTACAGAGAGAGATGCACTCATACTTAGGTGCTCTCGAAGCGTATCTTCTTTTAATAAGCACTTTGTACATTGTCGATGGGTCTGTGGTTTGAAAACCAAACCCAATCCATTGCCATTGAGTCGATGCCAAGTCCTGGTGGCTCCCGAATGCAGGAGTAAGTTGGGCCTTAAGGTTCTCAAGGCTGGGACCTCTCAGAAGAAGATTGTGAGGACTTTCTTTGCAGGCAGCTCTTGGTAGGTTCAAACACTAGCCTTTCAGCTAAGAGAGGGACACTTCTCATTTGCACCACCAAATGACTCCATGTATGTATCAATGATTATAGAAGTCATAAGGGTATCGCCTGTGATGGTAAACTTGAGTTATCCCCCCCACCCCCTTTCCTACAGGTATTCTATTTACACTAGTGTGCGGGGCTACCACAATGGGCAAACGACAAAAAGGTTTCCCGGATGATGTAGTTCAGCAGAACCTAATTGTGTCCAACACTGAAGCTCCCGGAGATGACAAAGTGGTAAGTAATGTGTCATTTTAAGAAACGAAAGGGATAAATGATCCTAATTCACTCGGATGAACTTATTTCAGTGAAGTGTTCCCCTTTCAAATAGCTTGTGTCATCACTGCCCAGGGACAGATCAAATGACTTCCCAGGAGTAAAAATATAGGTGTTTCAATTTGGCCACATAGTGTTATTTAATAGTAAATAGTTTAGCTTGTCATTATTATTTTCCACTTCAAATGTTCTGTGGTTTTAACTTTAGACCTGGTCTTTTGTATATTTTTAAACTGCTGTTTGTGACATTAAAATGTTCCAGTTAATGATTCACAGATCACTAGCATAATTACTTTAATCCCTGTTAGTCTGGGTAGGCCAGAGAAACAAATTCACAGAGACATTCATATGTGTATAAGAAGGAGCTTTATATTCAAGAGCAGTTGAAGATTGAGAAAACATCCCAGCCCAGTCCAGATCAAGTCCATAAATCCGATATGAGCCCATATGTCCAATACCAATCCATAAAGTCCTCTTCAGACTCACGAAACACATTCAATGATGCTGAATGCAGGAAGATCACAGGCCCGTGGGTAGGAGATCTTGTGGATCCAGGGGCATTGTAAGCATCTCAGCACTGGCAGGGGTCTCCGGGTGGCTTCTGCACATAGTTTCTCTCCATGTGTCTTCGCCCTGGGGCTGTCTCGCAGGCAGTGAGCATGTGTCCCACCTCCAGGGAGCTGCTTATCTCCTTAACGCCTCCAAATGAGGTCATCAAGCTAATACCTGATTGACAGGCTAGACTCCACCCCTCCACTCTGAATCCTCAAACTGAAAGCAGATTATGTAACTTCCACAGCCCCCCAAGCTCCAATAAGAACAACCTACTTCGCTGACAGCTGCCTTGTTTGTGAGCATGAACTTAAATGATTGCTTATGCTCTTGTGAGTCGGCAAGCAGCCCAGAGTCAAATATATGTAGCACCAATGCTAGCAAATGATTTCGTTCGCTCCACCTTTGTTTTCTCTCCCCTTTTGTGCAGGGGAGTAATTATATTCCTTGTTAAAAGCATAATCGATGACTATGGCAGGGAAAGGTTTTTAGAAGACAAAAATGATGGCATGTAGGGAGAGACTGACAAAATGAAACTCATAGTGAATGAAGCGTTTCCCACAAAAACAAAGCACCGAAGACCAGTGGCCAAAGATTTGCTGTTTTCCCTGCCTGCTTCACTTTAATTACAGCACAAGGATTTGTTTTGCAGCTAAGATGGGTATAGCAATTCTATCTTTCTTGGTTTAACTGAAAGGAAATGGATTGGGCACCGAATACAGATAATAGTGTACTATTAAAACTAATGTGACTATTTCTGCTGTGAAGGGGAGTAAAATTAAACAGGGCAGGTTGGAGCCCGTTGTTGCCACCATGGGCTCAAACAGCAATTGTGAAGATGGTTCAGGACCGAGCAGTGCTTTGGTCTGTTGTTCATGGCGTCGCTGTGACTCAGAGCCAACTTGATGTAACCCAGCAACCACAAATATGTATGCTACATAGGGAAACAACATGTATCATATGTATCATATATGTAAGTACATCTATGTTGCTTCATGAGAGAAAGAGGGTGGGGGTTACACTCCTGTGAAGAGTTACAGTCTTGGAAACTCACAGGGGTAGTTCTATCCTGTCCTGTCGGTTCCCTGTGAGTTATCAGCTCAATAGCAGTGAGTGTGTTTTGTTTTATATATATACAGTATATTACATATATATGTATAATTATAATAGTCCTGTTTTGGGGGTGTGAGATGCTGAAAGTACTTAATAAAGATATTGTATAATATTCTAAGAAGTTTTCTTAAATACATATTTTATTGCAATTTTTAGAGAAAATTTATATAACAAGTTTGAATCTCCTTTAATAATTTCTTCACATATTACTTAGTGACATCGATAACATTTTAAACAAGGTGCCATTATCCTCATCATTTTCCTTCTGGTGGTTCTGTTTCCATTCATCTAGCCTCCTTGTTCCCCTTTGGTCTAGGGTGAACATGAGCTGCTGCTTCTCACTTAGGTTCTCATTGATTAGAGCTCAGTGCTCATGGGTGATATTATTTATTCAACAAGCCATTCTGCCTTTTGTGAGTTCCTCAAGATTCATCCATGATACAGTACTCATCATTATTTATGACATAGTATTCCATTGTGTGTCTGTTCCAGAATTTGGTAATTCATTAATCTGTTGGTAGGAAGTTAGGTTATTTCTATCTTGTTGCTGCAATGACCGTAGGTGTGCTTCTAAGGATGTTTTAACCGGGGAGTCCACCTCACGTTGCCTGATCCACCAGAGGGCAGATCACTTGACATCTGCACTTCCTTCGCTGTGCTGTCACTGACATACATTCAGCACTGGACTAGCCTCACAATAGCTGTTTTTAGCTGACAGCCATTAGGTCCCCGACGTGTGGCAACGCCATGCTCAAGACTGACTGGGGATCAAATCATTGTAATCAGTGGAGTTTCATTGGTTGATTTGGAGGAGTCGATCACCAGGGCTTTCTCTGAAGTCTCTCTTAGTATGTGTGAGATTAACGAGAACCAGGTCTCTCACAAACTGCATGAGGGATCAAAAGGGGCATGGTCGGAATTGAGAAAATTAAAGATTAAGAGATAAGACGCAGGTGGGCAGAGGGAGCTCCTGGAGTACATACAGGGACTCCAGGGCCCAGCATTTTAGTCGAGGCAAGTTTATGTACAGTTCTTTTCACGTATCCAGCACCCACAAGGTTGGTTGACAATATATTTTGAGAGGTTCCCACACAGAGGATGTTAACACTATACTTTGAAGGTAAACAACAATGAAGCAATAATAGCTTCAGCCACTTTCCTCTCTGGTCTAGAGGGAAGTATAACTGACCACCTGCAGAAGGCTGTGTGTCCGCAGTCTCCCGAGGAGCAGGAGAGAAAGTAGTGGAAGGTCAGACTTGCAGCGTCTCAGCTCCCTGCATCTGAGCTGCCAGCTCTTTCCCACAGGCCTGCTGAAACAGAAATAACGGCGATGGTGTTGTCTGACTTGGGGAAGGAAATGAGGTTCAAACTGTCCCAATAATGCACTCTGTTTCTCAGAAAAGATGCCCAGGAGCGCGTTCTGCTCCAGGTTTTCTGTGTTCAGAGAATTTTCACCAATATCCCCGCGTTCAGAGACTTCAGCACCTATTCTTTCCCCGGAGTTCATCTCAAGACAATCTGCTCCCACAAGTGTGCAGAATTATCGAGATAGACTTGGTCCCTGCCCATAGAGCGCTTAGCTTCTAGCACAACAGATCAATGTGGCCTTATATGAATGGTGCTGCTCTTTTGTTTGTTTTTTTTCCATAAGTGATTCTCACCGCTCTCTTTCCCCCATGCAAACTTTTCTTTCAGTATGTCACAAATGGCTTTACATCCCATGTGGTGGGCAGTTCTGCTCAGGGAGTTTGTGGCACCATGGGATCGGGAATCAAAACTGGAGGCCAAGAAACCATTGAAATGGCGAAAGGAGGCCAGCACACCTTGGAATCCTGCCAAGGGGCAGGGCATCAGCAGACCTTGGACTTGTGTAAGGGCAGTGGACACCACACGCTGGACGCTGGCCGGGGAGGCCATGTGGAGGTGGACCATTGCAGACACACCTACTCAGAGTGGCATAATTTCACTCAGCACCGCCTTGGTGAAGTGAGTTTCACTGTTTTCTACAGCCTGGCTTGGATGTTCTTTTAGGCTTATAGATTATGACAGTTGATTGTAATTGTTAGTTTAGTCACGGGAAAGTTATCTTCCCTTGTTTTACGTGGTTAGGTTCAGATGTAAGTAGATATTTACAGGGTTTTTTCTTTTTCATTCTCTTACTGAGCAATGGTATTTAAGTTACTTTTCTTATGATTTTGTGCTTAAACTTTTCAACCTGTCAAGAAATGTCTTAGAAAGCCAAGTACGGCAGGCAGCAATATTGACGTGCACAAGCACTGTGCCTTTCTTGACATTCTGAGCCCGTGGTGCCCCCCAGCCCCCTCATCAAGTTGGATTGCATCTAATGGATGCATTTTGCTTTCAGCAATAATTGTGAAGAGAAAGTGATTCCTTGTCATGAACCATCGAATGCTTGCTGCCGCTTGTGTGGTTTCTCAACCCCTGCTATAGATAACATATATTGACTTGATAGTGTGATTGATGATATAGACCAATCATGTGCATTTTCTATATGTAGGAATCCATTAGAGGACACACTGATTAAAAATTAAACAATGAAAGGTAAATCAAGCTATTATTTTCATGTTAATAAGTTTTGGTGTTTAAAATAACAATAATAATAAAATCTGTTTTGTTTGTCCTTGTGGCAGAAGGTGCAGCAGTGTTCTCAGAATGCTGAGGATAATCCTGCCCAAGACTACGTCCTCACATATAATTACGAAGGCCAGGGCTCGGTGGCTGGGTCTGTAGGTTGTTGCAGCGAACAGCAAGAGGAAGATGGGCTTGCGTTTTTGGATCATCTGGAGCCCAAGTTTAGGACACTCGCCGAAACATGCGTAAAGAGATGAGCGTGATTTACGAAATTGACTGAAGCAAGTGTCTTTGCTACCATTTTCTTGTTGTTTCTTTTCTCTTTAAAAAAAATACAAACCAGGGCTTTCAAAAAATAGAAGATGCTATGTCAGGGACTTCTACCCTGTATTTTAGTGGAAGTTCATTGGCCAAGTGCCTGGTTACGGAGAGACCCTAGAAATAAGTGCATATATTTTCCAATTTTTGCGTAGATTTTGCTAATTTATCTTCCACCCAAGGAAATCCACAGATAAAAAGAAACTAAGGGCATCTCCATTGTTGTTTACATTTGGGAATGATGACAAAAGCCGATCAATTGTGCAATGCAATTTAATTAGCGCAAGTCTACATTATAGACTGCTTAAGATATTGTCTAACGGAAGATTAGAGAGGACTTGCTTTAACATTATCTCCGGTTAACCAATTATTTGGTGCTGAAAAATGTTGTTCTCCTAAACATTCTAAAGTGTAAATATTCCATCCTTGACGTTGTCTTATTCTTGTAGCATGGCTTTCCTTCATAATGCAAAGGGAAACTTCCTATTATAAATATTATAATTCCATTTTCCTTGAATTGAATTTCTAAGTTTGGTGCTCTTCAGAGTCCTGCCCTGAATGTAAATTTTCTGTTACTATTCCCAACTTCAAAATGCTTTCAAAATATATCCTTACTCTTGCTACTTTGGTGCCTTGGAAATGTCAAGAGGTGTCTGTCTGTCTCTCCATGCCTTTATCTTTAAAATGTGCTGCTTGAGATGTACCATCTAAATATTTTTAAAAGTCATATTTCTTATCTTCATTTACAAAATGAATTACTTTGATTTTGTTTTGTGTAAGCATATGTGCATTCTTAAAACCAGTATCATGTTACCTTATTTGTTCCGGTATCTTGGTGATTCCTTCTTATGTTCTCAACAAAGAACCTTTAATTAGGTCATTGAAACTGTATTTCATGTTTTAGTTACAAGTCACATTATACACAACTACTCCTCACTTATCCACTACCTGGTGAAATTCCAGTCCTTAAGGGAAGATCAGCATTATGTGAATGTGGAGAATGACCACATCAGGGGACAACATGGAGGGTGATGTCATCATTACATAACCACCAAATTGCTTCACTCCCAAACGGCAAACCACTCAGATTCATGGCCCCGTCACGTTGACACATAACCTGGTCATCACAGCCAGCGTTTCTCTTACTTTGCACCTTGGTGTTCGATGCTGCCAAATATTTGCACATTAATGTGCAAAATAGACGGTGGATTTTTAATAGGTTATAAATACAAAATACTGGATCATAAGATTGACATTAAGTGAAGAATAGGTGTATTAAGAAAATGATGAGTGTAATTAAAATTTGGATGTGTGTATATGGGTAGATATACACATATAATATATATACATCTATATAATAGCATATTTGTAGTTTATATATTTAGTATAGGATATATATTGCAATATAAATGCAAAACAGTGACAGTGTTTTTTAAATAAGCTTCAGAATTAAACATCTTAAAAACTAGTTAGAGATGACTCTTTTATACCATTTCAGATGAAAGCTAGTTATAGCTACGTACTTGTAAAGCCATTTTTAGTATTTCAAAATGAAAGGTTTTAGCAAATGTAGAAGTGTGCCAAACTATTTGAATTTTGAAATAAGATGCAAGTAAAACTAATAGTTAAAAAAATCCAAATCAGAATTTAGCCAATGTATTTTGCATGTATATTGACCATATTAACATTTAAAGTGTACTTTTAGTGCATATCATGGTTCATAATGTGTCTGTCTTGAATTTCTAAACAAGAATTACTTGTAAGGGATAACATATTCAGTAATTAGTGTATATTGGTGAGAGTTTCCTTATTGCACAGTGAGATTTGCCAAAGTTATTTTTAATAAATTATATACAAAATTCTTATATGTTACCAGTTCTGATAAAATAGTTTTAAAAGTTATTGTAAGTTTGTTAATTATATTTTTGATACAGTTTAAAAGATTGCATTTTTTCTTACTTAGAAAAATGGATGCCTTCTTTAGAATTCCTGATATATGCGGTGTGTGTGTGTGTGTGTGTGTTTCGTGTGTGGCTTTAGAACTTGATTTGGAGAGGCCTTTGGTTCATTGTTAATACCGCCTTTGCATAAGTTTATTATCCTAAAGATTAATGTGATGGGATACTGGTTAAGTTGCATAATTTCTCTATATTTTTTCATCTTGGGAGGTAGTAATAGGACTGATTTTCTAGGGTAGTTGTAAAACATTTAAATAAACATTCTCTTTTAAACATGAGCTTCATATAGAGTGGTTCACATAAAAAGATATACCTAGTGATACTAAATGATTTCAAATAAATCACAATTCATAATTCATTTCATGTTAATAAAATCAATTAAGAATATAGAAGACGATCGTTTTTTATTATCACTTTAGATGGTCAGTTGAGGATATTTCTCTTCCTAACACCTGGCTGACGTTTGAGTCTTGTATAATGAATCATTCAAACTGTAAACTTCAAACATCGCTGAATCATCTGTATAGGATTTCCAAATAAAAAGCTGTCTATAAAAATGTGTAAGATCAAGCCTCTGCCACCTTCTCTCTAGCTTTTCTCTTAGACATTAGTGGTCAATTGTCTGGGAATATTGAGGTCTTTGGACATCACCATGGTAACTCTAAGAGCAATGGCTCTACAATAAGAATGACTCCATGTAAATCTTTGCTATATTCTTACTACCTTTCGGAGTCCTGGTGGTACAGTGGTTATGAGTTGGCCTGTGAGCCACATGGTCAGCAGTTTGAAACCACCAGCAGCTCCGCTGGAGAACGCCTGGGCTTTCTACTCCCTTAAACAGTTACAGTCTCGGAAGCCCACAGGGACTCAATATGAGTCAGTAATCACTCGGTGGCAATGAGTTTGGTTTGGTTTTACAACCTATGGAATTTGAGAAATCAACCCTTGTGTCTAATTTGTTACTTACAGGACTTGCATTGGGGGTTGGGTGACGAGAAGGAGTATACTATATAAAATGTTTGTCAGTATTAAAAGAGTTAATGAAAAGTTTTGACAGAGTTAGCACCTAATATATGTTAGTTGTTATGAATATTTTATGGAAAGATAACACCTTAGTTGAGAATATTCATGCCCTTAGCATCAGCTCAGCGTTACGACTGACATGTTATAATAACTGCCCTCTCATCCTTCCCGGATGTTTACCTGAGGCCTTTCCTGTGATGGTCTTTGAGATTGTCATAGCCCATAGTAGTCACCTGCTCTGTGATTCTTGCACTCAGAGAGCGACGTCTTACTTAAGCCGTAGCCATTAATCAGTGGGACAAATCTTTAGAGTGAATTTAACAGGCAAATAAAATTCCTAGTCAACCATTGTTTCTTCAAGGAGGAAAATGTTCTTAAGGATTTCTCCTAAAAATGCATAGTGCTTCTTCAGCAGGAAGAAAGTACTAGGCATTTGCTGTTAGTTCAGGGCAGCTAATATGTGTGGCCTCTATGTAATCATTTCCGCATCATATCAGGTCTTCCTGGATTTTCTATATAAATGGTGTCCCCCTGATTGATACTTAGGCTTAAGACAGAGTCCTGGGTTCCTCTTTCTCCTTTCAATTGCCTCTCTTGTTGTCAAAGGCACTCAAGCTTTCTAAGAATTTTAGAAACAATTCCATTTCTTAATTCTTCATTTACCAGAAAATCATTAATAAGTAAGCAGTACCCCATTAACCAGGACATAATGGTGTATCTTGAAAACATGACTGCAAAGTTTTCACTTAGAGGTGTGTGTGCCTCTCTTGCCGGTGGAGAACGAAGAATGTTCACATTTGTATGCTGCTGAAATTGTGGTCATCAATACCTTTGGATGAAGCAAATTGTATTATGTAGATTACAAAGATATCCAAATTAGGTCTTTTGTTTTCTTGGACACTACATCCACTCTTCATTTTTCAACATGGTAGCATTCCAAAGACCAGGGTGCTGTGCCAAAACTGGCATTATCTGGAAATGGAGTGTTGTCACATGAGATCACAGAATTGACATGCCCGCACATTATATAACTACCCCATTTTATCATCACATAATTGCCAAACATTATCATTACATAGCTTTCAAATTATGTCATTATATAAATGTCAAATTATATACTATAGCATCCTTACATGTCTGCCAAGCTACTGAGAGTCATGGCCTGGCCTAGTTGATATATAGCCAGAACTATCATAGCTGTCATTACTGTGAGCTTGCAATGTAGTGATCACTACTCCTCGGTGTCCGTGGCTAAAGCACAAACTAAGAGATTTTGTTGTTACGGCCGTAAATATGAAATGTCAGATCCTGAGATAGTCCATAAGGGTGGCGTAGGTCTATATTATTATCATTTGACATTGAGTTTTCATTACTGATATAGAATGCATGCTGCATTTTGCATTGGTTCCTTTTGCATTTTAGAGAAAATGAGTTCACAGAACATGAAACATTTGGGGTCCCTGCTTAGTTGACGAAAGTGTGGCCTTCGGGTTTCAGAGTCCCTTCTGCTTTTCTCCTGATGGAGGCAGGTGTCGCCGTTGGGTCTCTCCTGCCACCACTAACCGCCCTCACTTGGCTCTTGTGACTGGTGCGCCACACAGCAATCTGCCTGCCCGGCGTCCTCGTCTGTGCAGTTCACCACGTGCTGCGCACGCCACAGAACTGTTGACGTGTCATGGTGTGTTAGACGAGCGAATGAATTCACACGTGTTCAGTATCAGACTAGGTTTTCTAAAGAAGAATTTTTTCCTTGAGGGGAAACATTTTCCAAAGGGAAAATTATTTGTGACGGCCATCCCATGGTCACCATGTTCTAACACGAGTGATACATAAACTTTTGCTTTGGATTATTCACTAGCCCCCTCAGGGTCTCTGAAGTTTTTGGGACTCACATATAAGGCTGATGAGTTTACCAAAGTTATTTGCAAACCGTTTAAAGTTAAGTCGCCCGAAAAGTATCTTGTGAAACAAAAGCCAAGGAAAGAGACCCAGATCTGAGCTCTGCCTCTGTGTGGCCTGGGTGGGCACACAGTAAGCTGTGAGTCTCCAGGGTGCTGCTTGGTCACTGAAAGAAGGGAAAACCTTCAGATGAAGACCAGAGGACAGGAAAGTAACGTGCAACCATGGGCTGAACACATTACAAGGAAGTTAGTATGTCAGAAAGCCCTGCCCTGCTGCTCTCGGCCTGACCTTTAAGGAACAGATCTGTCAAGTTAATGGCAGGCATGGCCTAGTGAATAGTGAGCAAGTCCTTTGCACGTCTGGTTTGACGTGTGGAATATTTGTATTTTCTCTTTCCTTCTTGCATCTCTTCCAGGTCTCTAGTGGTAGTTCTGGAGACCCAAATCCCCAAAAGGTCAATTGGGGTCCTTCTGTCCAACCCCAATCTCCCTGCCTGCCCCTTACTCTCGCCATATCCAAAGACCACTTTAATCACTAGCTTAATAGTGCTATAAGTAAACAAGTAAATGCATCACTCCGCTGTGTTTTCACTAAAGACATCCCACATACATTGTTAATATAAAACAATAGGATACTAAAAGGGAAAGGAACTATTTCATTGATATAGATGGTAGAAAGAAACACAGAGCACTTTGAGTTTATTAAAATAGTTTCTTTTGTAGAAATATGTTTGGTTAGTTGGTTATTCTTTACTATAGGGGAACCAGATATGTTGAAAACACTAGATAGATGCGGCACTCAAAAGGAAGATCTCGCTGATGTCTGTGAGACAGCTGTGTTAACTGAGAGTGCCTCAAGGGGAAAATTAGGGATTGTTCTCTGCCATCTCTAACTCCCACGAGACTGTAGCCTCATGGCCCTCCAGGACATTTTGGCATAGATAGAAAGTTTAGAATTATAGTGTTTCTCTTTCTCCCTCCCTCCCTCCTTCCTGCCCTTCCTTTAGGAAAGAAGACTGAGAATATTATTTCTTTTGCAGCTGACAAATACTAGGTTAAATTTGCTGAAATGTGTGTTTGCACTTTTTAAAATAAAAAGTAGTCCATAGACCACCTGCATCAGGATAACCTGTGGTGCATTGTAAAATACAGACCCCAGGACCGTTGAATGGGGATCATATAGGTAATGGGGCAATGTGGAGGAGGGAGGATAGGGGGTAGAAGTCTTCGCTTTCTAGTAAGCTTCCTCCACATGTTTTTCCACCCTCAAAAGGAAATTCAGTAGCACCGTCAGCTAAGCCTTGGGTTGCTAACCACAAGGTCAAATGTGCTGGGCTGGGTTCCCTGGAGAAGCAAACCCAGGGATGCTCATCTATCTATCTATCTATCTATCTATCTATCTATCTATCTATCTATCTATCTATCCATCCCTCTCTCTCTCTATCTATCTTATCTATCTCTCAGAATGTATATATAAAGAAATGTATACCAAGAAAGTGGCTCACCAAGTTCTAACAGATGGTGAGTTCAGTTCCATTCCAGTCCGTGGATCACATGTTAATCTGGAAATTTCTCCTGGCTCAGGTAGCTATGGGGGTGAGGAACCAGGGAGCAGGAAGATGAAGCAGGAAGACAATAGCTGATGGATGCAAAGTCAAATTATTCCAAGGTCAGCAGTCTGCTGATGACAAACTAGATGTAGCCTTCAGATCTAGCAGAAGTGACAAGCTTTCCCACAGAATCTGCTTAAAAGGAACAGGCCACCCGCCTGATACGTCTTCCAATTGCATCAGCCTGTGATCTGATCAATGGCATCACGCTCTACCGCAACGGCTGGCTGCTCATGGAGTGTTTTTACGTTATGCTAGATCCCTGCTGGCGTGGATTACATTGTGTTAGATCATAGGCCTTCACCGTCAAATTGCTGACAACCCTGACCTAGTTACATCACCTAACCAACACATTGGATGTTCAAAATCACCAGCTGCCCCACAGGAGAAAGAGATGGCTCTCTGCTCTGATATACATTGATATACTGTATACAGTATATCACTGTTGATGTAAAAAAAATATTGTCCTGGAAACCCTGTATAAGGTTGATATGACTTTGAAATGCCTTAATGGCCATGGCTAAAGTTTGAGAACCATTGACAGGGATTTAGTAACAGCTTAAGTGATAATTTTGGGAAAGGGTGTTATGAAATTTAAATATTATACATTTGTAGCTTCGTATAAGATGCAGTAAAACAAGTGACATGATAGAAACGTGCAAGTTGAAATGGAGTGATTAGTAAAGTTTCTCTAGGATTCCTACACATAAGATGGAGAGGATTTGAACCTTGAAAGGGCGCTCTGGTAAGGCAATCTGATGAAATTAACCTGCAGGGAAGGTGAGTGTTGGTGAAAGGAAAGAAAAAATATACCAAGCAGTAAACAGAATAATGAACGAGAGCATGGGCAACTACAGCCAAAGCCAAAGGTCTGGGGGCAGAATACATCGCAGTGTAAATAGCAGTAAGTATTGTGTAAAGTGCCCTGCATTCACAGTGGTTAAGCATTTTTCTGCAAACCAAAAGGTGACGTTCTGGACCCATCAGCCCCTGTAAGAGAGAAAGGACCTGCCAGTCTGATCTTGCAAAG